TATAGTTCTGTGTAAATGCATAGATAAACTGCGCTGTCAGCAGACATTTCATAATCTAGAAGGACAAAACCATTATTATTAATTCTGATATAACATGCCAGTTGAGAAATGCAATAAAATACGATGTTTTGTTTGTTATATTTCAATATTCCAGAGAATATTATTCAGTGAATTAACATTATCCAGTGAATTGTTCTTCACTCTTTAGCCTGTTAAACATCTTATAAACCTACTAAAACTGTAGTTTAAAATGAAGTTGATATGACTCCTTTCCTTTATTTATTTTCTCCATTTGAAAACATTAGACATTCTACATTTATTTTGCTTATTGTTAATATTAGTGTTGCTGCTGATGCTTTAAATAAAATGTTTTTTTATTGTTGTAATGTGAAGATTAAATTTAACATGAAAGACTGCTAATTTTCAACACTTTTTAAGATGACTGAAAGGAGGAAAAACCAAAGTGAAGTATGAACTTACTTCACGCAGTCATTTATTTACTTTATAACAGTAAATATATATTGGTTCTGCATATCGGTTATCGGGCACATAAACATGCAAGTAATTGGTATCGGTATCGGTTATAAAATATCAATATCAGTCGATCACTAATTAAAATCGACTTGGTTACGATTGCATAGTGATGTTATAAGCCCTAAATTGTGTGTGTGTAGCCAGACTTTTGACTTGCGGAAAATAGTTTGGTCCAGTTTGCAGATTTTTTTTCTGGCTAAGAGCCGCCCACTTAGACAGGAGGAGACTTTCCGAGCAACATGTAAAGTGACCAACCACAATGCATTTTGTTTTGCATTCGTGTAATTCAAGGCCTTTTATCATTATTATGGCTTTTATGACTGCTTTATGAGGTTGAATTATTATATTGTTGATATAATATACAAATTATTTTGTTTTAATGCTAAACATTTATCAAATCATGAAAAGCCATTGTTTTACAGTTTTGTATGCTGGTTTGTGGCCTGTTCACCTCAGTGGCCATGGTGGGGCGCTACATCCCTGGACTGGTGCTGTCATACATGGCTTGTGAGTAGCAGAAATCCTTCAGGGCTTGCTCATCCTCTCCAGCGCCTTAACAACTGCAAAATATTTACTTTCTGTCTCTCACCCTCAGTGCTGGGTGTGTTGCTGTGCCCATTGGCGCTGTATTATCGACTGTGGCAGCGTGCATGTGTGAAGCTGGAGCCGGCCCTGCAGTGGCTGGACTTCAGCACCAAAGGATATATGATGTCAAAGCCTATAGACAACCAGTGTAAGTACACTGTAGATCTATACAGTGTGAGTCCCATAAAACTGAAGTGCAGACTGATGTTATGCTGAAGACAAATCTTGTATTTTAAGGACTATATCTGAAGATGTAGTTTAAAAAATTTGTGGGCATAAAGGTCCATTGTGTATTGTTAATAATGTAGTGATGCATAGCTAAAGGGGCGGTCACACTGCACTTTTCGTTCCATTGACTTCCATTCATACGCATGCAAATGCGTCAGACCGGAAACGCAAGCGAAAAATTTTGCATTTCGCTGCGTTCCAAAGTTCAAGTTTGGTGAACTCTGACCTGTGAATTCACATCACGTGAAGACGTGTGACCAGTAAAAGATTGATACGTCACTGCGTGACCTTTCTGTACAGAAATTCAAAAATGGAGGAAGCACTCATTTTAGCCATAGCGCAGCGTCCTATTTTATATAATACATCTTTAAAAGATGATAAAAATCAAATAAAAAAAAAGAAGCTGCATGGTTAGCGGTGTCAATGGAAACAGGAACAGATGGTACATTTGAATGCGGACACATTTGATAATTTTTTATTGCTTAGTGTGTGTATATATATATATATTTTTTTTGTGTGTGTGTGTGTGTGTGTGTGTGTGTGTACTGACATTTTTGACATTGTGGGGACCAGCCTGCAGTATAAAAAAAAATATATTTTATGACAAAAGACCTAATTTGCATAATTCCTAGTGGTTCAAATGTTAAAATAACACAGGCAGCACATGTAAATAAATGATGCCATCGGCGCCTGCAATTCATTCGTCCCTTGTGTATCCAGACACAGGCTAGACATTTACTGAAACGTCCATCTAAAACGGGGTCTCGTGACGATTCGTTTCTTATTTTAGAGTTAAAACGAAGCGTTATTAATGGCATCTGTGTGTTTAGGACTCACGCTGTGTAGGCCGGGCACGGCGTCCGCTCCGTACTCGCTCTGGATGATGGGCTTCTGGTATTTGCCGTACCAGTCATCAAACTGAGTGTTGAGCTGAAGACTGATGAGCTCTGTGTGACCCGGGTCATGATACCACGACAAATAGCTGTTCACGCAGATAACATCCACATACGGAGCCTGACCAGCAGAACACAGCAAATCAGCAAATACTCCCTCTGCTATTCATACAGCTCACTTATCAAAACTAAAGCAATCTGTTCATATGCACAAAGGTTAGCCACTTAAAACATTGCATTTAGAACATTTAGAAATCTGAAAGATACAGCATCAACAGCCTGTGTAACTGTAAAGATCATGACATATCTCCAGTGTTGATCTCCAACAACACACTGAAAAAAAACGTGTAGAAAGAGTTTTAACTCCGAGACATTGCTAGAAATTTACACATTACATTAAATGTGAAATTTCGAAGGCACCAAAGGATATATGATGTCAAAGCCTATAGACAACCAGTGTAAGTACACTGTAGATCTATACAGTGTGAGTCCCATAAAACTGAAGTGCAGACTGATGTTATGCTGAAGACAAATCTTGTATTTTAAGGACTATATCTGAAGATGTAGTTTAAAAAATTTGTGGGCATAAAGGTCCATTGTGTATTGTTAATAATGTAGTGATGCATAGCTAAAGGGGCGGTCACACTGCACTTTTCGTTCCATTGACTTCCATTCATACGCATGCAAATGCGTCAGACCGGAAACGCAAGCGAAAAATTTTGCATTTCGCTGCGTTCCAAAGTTCAAGTTTGGTGAACTCTGACCTGTGAATTCACATCACGTGAAGACGTGTGACCAGTAAAAGATTGATACGTCACTGCGTGACCTTTCTGTACAGAAATTCAAAAATGGAGGAAGCACTCATTTTAGCCATAGCGCAGCGTCCTATTTTATATAATACATCTTTAAAAGATGATAAAAATCAAATAAAAAAAAAGAAGCTGCATGGTTAGCGGTGTCAATGGAAACAGGAACAGATGGTACATTTGAATGCGGACACATTTGATAATTTTTTATTGCTTAGTGTGTGTATATATATATATAGAGAGAGAGAACACAATATAATTATTATACACAAGTGTATTATTATTGTCATATCCTGCTCCCGCCCATATTCGCAGCAGCGTCCGAAAAATTTTTGCACATTCAAAGTTTCAAAGTCTCGCCCCTTAACACAGAAGTTACTTTCAAACCAAGCAGCTTTCTGTTGGTCAACACAGCGAAGTTGCATGTTTGCATGTAACACAGTGCAAAATCTGCGTGGGGAAATATTTTGTCCTGAAACAAAATTTATGATTATGTGGATTCCTATTAAAAAGACTGGAGTTCGCGAAATTTCCTGCCATTTTTAGCTCCAAACCACAGTCTTCTCCATGTAATTTAGCTCTTATTCTACATATCTGGACATTCAGTATTCATATGGCATCTAACCTGACTAGGGTCTATTGCATACAGTAGCATATCTGTGATGTGCAGTTGCTTGTTTGACAGTAGAACAAAAATAACAAAAAATGATTTTAGCTGAAGAATGAATCAAAGCATTAAGGTAATACCGAAAATTGTTGTACAGAAACTTTGAATTACTTTATGACAGACACAGTTTCTCAATTGTATGTGACAGTTACATATTACAATAAGCATTTGTGAACATGACCAGTTGATGTCTCTTGTAGCTATGTGTTATCTGTCTTTTACTGTATTTTACAGTTTTCAGAAGTTTTGATTAACCAAACTAATGTTTACCCTTCTGTGTTTGCAGTTCTTCGTAAGCCCATCAGAAGCGGGATCTCGGATGACGTAAGTGACAGCGAAGAAGAACTGGCTGCATTCTGCCCAATGGTGAGCCCAGAAACAGGGTTATTTATAACACGGGGATTTATAGCAGCTGCATGGTCATGAGGTTCGGGGGTCTGTAGGGGTTCATGATAGTAAAAAGCAAATTGGAAGATCATTGTTTTTTTCTAATACACTCACACTTCTCTAAATATTTTGCACCTGTAGTTTGATGAAGCAGCAGTTGCTAAGGAACTGGCAATGACTGACTCCGAGCACTCGGATGCTGAGGTGTCGTACATGGATAACGGCACCTTTAACCTCTCCAGGGGTCAAACACCCCTCACAGAGGGCTCAGAGGGTAAGACACCTTGATGTCTTCTACTCTTGACTCTTTTTTCAGTCTTTGTGTGTGTGTCAATGACAAGATTGTCTACAGTAAAGAAAAGGAAGAAAACAAATCTGGTTTAAAACACAACAAATTCTTAGAAATGTGCATTGTGTTTGTATTCACGTTGGTTTCATACGGTATTGAAAAACCTTTATAATATTTTAAAGAAAATCTTCAGTTTAATGACTGCAACGATCAAGTAAAAAGTAATAAAATATTTCCTCACTCATAGAATATATGAGAGTACACATCTAATCAAAATCATTGTTTTTTTTAATTTTTCAAGGTTAAAGGTTATTTTGTTTGTGTATCAGTAAGTTGAAAAAACATTTAATTAAACAAAACTAAATATCAAAATCAATTCCGAAATTAAATTACTGTATGCATGAATTCTGTTTTTGATACAATATTGTTTAAAAGAATGTGGTCAGTAAGATTTTTTATTTAATTTTTTATAAATATTTATTAAGAAATGTATCGGCATATCAGAATGATTTCTGAAGGATCATGTGACACTGAAGACTGGAGTAATGGATACTGACAATTCAGCTTTACATTACAGGAATAAATTACATTTTAAAATATATTAACATAAAAAAAGGTCATTTTAAATTGTAACAATATTTCCCAAAATTACAGTTTTTTTTTATTTTTTATTAAATAATCAATTTTTAGTAATTAATAAATAGGACAAAAATGAGTTATGTCGATGACCAATGTATAATTTTTTTCATGCTATAATATCTTAATCTTTATTTATTCACTTAATAGATCTTGACAGACACAGTGATCCAGAAGAATCATTTGCCTGTGGGCTTCCAGACTTCCCCTCCATCAACCCAGATGCCACCCTGATGGAGGACGATGATGATGCCAGCATCGGGCTGCCCAGTCTCAACTCAGCTGCGCTCTCTGGCCCTCGCGGCTCTACCTCCGCCCTGCTGGACCTGGACACCCAGATGGACTCTGATCAGGAAGAATTTACTTTATAACAGTAAATATATATTGGTTCTGCATATCGGTTATCGGGCACATAAACATGCAAGTAATTGGTATCGGTATCGGTTATAAAATATCAATATCAGTCGATCACTAATTAAAATCGACTTGGTTACGATTGCATAGTGATGTTATAAGCCCTAAATTGTGTGTGTGTAGCCAGACTTTTGACTTGCGGAAAATAGTTTGGTCCAGTTTGCAGATTTTTTTTCTGGCTAAGAGCCGCCCACTTAGACAGGAGGAGACTTTCCGAGCAACATGTAAAGTAACCAACCACAATGCATTTTGTTTTGCATTCGTGTAATTCAAGGCCTTTTATCATTATTATGGCTTTTATGACTGCTTTATGAGGTTGAATTATTATATTGTTGATATAATATACAAATTATTTTGTTTTAATGCTAAACATTTATCAAATCATGAAAAGCCATTGTTTTACAGTTTTGTATGCTGGTTTGTGGCCTGTTCACCTCAGTGGCCATGGTGGGGCGCTACATCCCTGGACTGGTGCTGTCATACATGGCTTGTGAGTAGCAGAAATCCTTCAGGGCTTGCTCATCCTCTCCAGCGCCTTAACAACTGCAAAATATTTACTTTCTGTCTCTCACCCTCAGTGCTGGGTGTGTTGCTGTGCCCATTGGCGCTGTATTATCGACTGTGGCAGCGTGCATGTGTGAAGCTGGAGCCGGCCCTGCAGTGGCTGGACTTCAGCACCAAAGGATATATGATGTCAAAGCCTATAGACAACCAGTGTAAGTACACTGTAGATCTATACAGTGTGAGTCCCATAAAACTGAAGTGCAGACTGATGTTATGCTGAAGACAAATCTTGTATTTTAAGGACTATATCTGAAGATGTAGTTTAAAAAATTTGTGGGCATAAAGGTCCATTGTGTATTGTTAATAATGTAGTGATGCATAGCTAAAGGGGCGGTCACACTGCACTTTTCGTTCCATTGACTTCCATTCATACGCATGCAAATGCGTCAGACCGGAAACGCAAGCGAAAAATTTTGCATTTCGCTGCGTTCCAAAGTTCAAGTTTGGTGAACTCTGACCTGTGAATTCACATCACGTGAAGACGTGTGACCAGTAAAAGATTGATACGTCACTGCGTGACCTTTCTGTACAGAAATTCAAAAATGGAGGAAGCACTCATTTTAGCCATAGCGCAGCGTCCTATTTTATATAATACATCTTTAAAAGATGATAAAAATCAAATAAAAAAAAAGAAGCTGCATGGTTAGCGGTGTCAATGGAAACAGGAACAGATGGTACATTTGAATGCGGACACATTTGATAATTTTTTATTGCTTAGTGTGTGTATATATATATATAGAGAGAGAGAACACAATATAATTATTATACACAAGTGTATTATTATTGTCATATCCTGCTCCCGCCCATATTCGCAGCAGCGTCCGAAAAATTTTTGCACATTCAAAGTCTAGTGTGACCGCCCCTTAACACAGAAGTTACTTTCAAACCAAGCAGCTTTCTGTTGGTCAACACAGCGAAGTTGCATGTAAAATTTGAACACAGTGCAAAATCTGCGTGGGGAAATATTTTGTCCTGAAACAAAATTTATGATTATGTGGATTCCTATTAAAAAGACTGGAGTTCGCGAAATTTCCTGCCATTTTTAGCTCCAAACCACAGTCTTCTCCATGTAATTTAGCTCTTATTCTACATATCTGGACATTCAGTATTCATATGGCATCTAACCTGACTAGGGTCTATTGCATACAGTAGCATATCTGTGATGTGCAGTTGCTTGTTTGACAGTAGAACAAAAATAACAAAAAATGATTTTAGCTGAAGAATGAATCAAAGCATTAAGGTAATACCGAAAATTGTTGTACAGAAACTTTGAATTACTTTATGACAGACACAGTTTCTCAATTGTATGTGACAGTTACATATTACAATAAGCATTTGTGAACATGACCAGTTGATGTCTCTTGTAGCTATGTGTTATCTGTCTTTTACTGTATTTTACAGTTTTCAGAAGTTTTGATTAACCAAACTAATGTTTACCCTTCTGTGTTTGCAGTTCTTCGTAAGCCCATCAGAAGCGGGATCTCGGATGACGTAAGTGACAGCGAAGAAGAACTGGCTGCATTCTGCCCAATGGTGAGCCCAGAAACAGGGTTATTTATAACACGGGGATTTATAGCAGCTGCATGGTCATGAGGTTCGGGGGTCTGTAGGGGTTCATGATAGTAAAAAGCAAATTGGAAGATCATTGTTTTTTTCTAATACACTCACACTTCTCTAAATATTTTGCACCTGTAGTTTGATGAAGCAGCAGTTGCTAAGGAACTGGCAATGACTGACTCCGAGCACTCGGATGCTGAGGTGTCGTACATGGATAACGGCACCTTTAACCTCTCCAGGGGTCAAACACCCCTCACAGAGGGCTCAGAGGGTAAGACACCTTGATGTCTTCTACTCTTGACTCTTTTTTCAGTCTTTGTGTGTGTGTCAATGACAAGATTGTCTACAGTAAAGAAAAGGAAGAAAACAAATCTGGTTTAAAACACAACAAATTCTTAGAAATGTGCATTGTGTTTGTATTCACGTTGGTTTCATACGGTATTGAAAAACCTTTATAATATTTTAAAGAAAATCTTCAGTTTAATGACTGCAACGATCAAGTAAAAAGTAATAAAATATTTCCTCACTCATAGAATATATGAGAGTACACATCTAATCAAAATCATTGTTTTTTTTAAATTTTTCAAGGTTAAAGGTTATTTTGTTTGTGTATCAGTAAGTTGAAAAAACATTTAATTAAACAAAACTAAATATCAAAATCAATTCCGAAATTAAATTACTGTATGCATGAATTCTGTTTTTGATACAATATTGTTTAAAAGAATGTGGTCAGTAAGATTTTTTATTTAATTTTTTATAAATATTTATTAAGAAATGTATCGGCATATCAGAATGATTTCTGAAGGATCATGTGACACTGAAGACTGGAGTAATGGATACTGACAATTCAGCTTTACATTACAGGAATAAATTACATTTTAAAATATATTAACATAAAAAAAGGTCATTTTAAATTGTAACAATATTTCCCAAAATTACAGTTTTTTTTTATTTTTTATTAAATAATCAATTTTTAGTAATTAATAAATAGGACAAAAATGAGTTATGTCGATGACCAATGTATAATTTTTTTCATGCTATAATATCTTAATCTTTATTTATTCACTTAATAGATCTTGACAGACACAGTGATCCAGAAGAATCATTTGCCTGTGGGCTTCCAGACTTCCCCTCCATCAACCCAGATGCCACCCTGATGGAGGACGATGATGATGCCAGCATCGGGCTGCCCAGTCTCAACTCAGCTGCGCTCTCTGGCCCTCGCGGCTCTACCTCCGCCCTGCTGGACCTGGACACCCAGATGGACTCTGATCAGGAAGATTTCAACCCTGAGATCTCCCTCGGCTCCCTAAATACTACCTCTGACCTCACTAGTAACCTGGCAGGGGTCATCGCCAGCAACATGATCCAGGCGGCCATCGCAGGAGCCATGCAGCCCCGCCCACCGCAAGGCCCTCGGAGAGAGAGGGGCCCACGGGCAGGAGCCGCTCCGAGGGCATACAGGAAGCAGTCGAGCTCGGAGTTAGACACAGACCTGGAGTTTGATGGCGAGGACTTTGAGATGTTGGATCAGTCCGAGCTGAACCAGTTGGATCCCTTTGGAGGGGGGCAGGGGGGCCAAAACAGAACCCAGGGATCCAATTTCCTGTCCGACTTGCTGGGGAAGCCACAGTGAGCCCATCTTACAGATACTCCCTCCGTCTGTCTGCTCCTCGTGTCCCTTGCACCTTGATCCGAGTAGAAGTTTGCAGTGTTGGTTTGAATGTCTACTGAGATGCTTTCGATTTATCTGAGTAAGTGCGACGGAGAGAGAGGGTGTTTTGTTTTGCACTGTTAATGTAATATTAGATTCACTTGCCAGGTTTCCTCCACTGGCTGCAGTTGATATCACTGTGAAGTAATCTTGTTTGTAGTCTGAATCTTCTCTGTTTATGCTCTGTGAACTTCCGTGTCCTCTCTCATTCGTGTGTGAAAGACTCCGATTTACTTTGTAGGCTAAGCAATAGGACACCAATCATAGAACCATTTAAAAAGATCCAAAATCTCTAAAACTTCTTAGAAACCAGCAAAACAAATACCAGATCTTTTTACTACATCCAAGTCTTATAGATCTTTCACATCAGTCGCTGTATTGTTTGTGTCTTCAATAATAACACATGGGACCAAATCAGACATTCCATCATCAATGCAAAGTCAAGACCCTTAGGTTATACATATACGCCTGTAATAAAGAAATCTACAGTCAAGACATTGCTGAGCAGAGGAGTCTGATGAAGTAGCAGTGACATATTAAGGCCGCAGCCTCATCTCTTGTTTTTTTTAAAGTGGTAGTTCACCCAAAAATCGAAATTCTGTTATCGTTTACTCACGCTCATGCCATTTCTAAAGCTGTATGACATTCTTTCTTCTGTAGAACATACAAGACGACATTTTGAGAAATGTCTCAGTGTTTTTTGTCCATACAATGGAAGTCAGTGGGGGAAAAAAACAGTTTGGTTACCATCATTCCACAGAAGAAAACAAGTCTTAAGGGTTTGGAACAACACAAGGGTAAATGATGACATAAATTTATTTTTTGGGTGGCCTGTCACTTTAAGACTCTGAGACGTGAACTTTTCTTAAAGGGATAGTTCACCCAAAAATGAAAATTTGATGTTTATCTGCTTACCCCCAGGGCATCCAAGATGTAGGTGACTTTGTTTCTTCAGTAGAACACAAACAAAGATTTTTAACTCAAACCATTGCAGTCTGTCAGTCCTATAATGTCAGTAGATGGGAATCACGGCTTTGAGAGTAAAAAAAACATACACAAACAAAACCAAATTAAAAAAGAAACTGAACAGTATTTATATAATTTTTTACCTCTGATTCACCGCAATGTCCGAACTGTCCTGAACGCGTTCTCAACAGCCGGTGCGTGACGCGTCGTCGTCTTCTTGCTTTATGGCGGATCGCATTCAGACTTATAAGTGCATTACTGCCACCTATCTCAAATAAACCATTGACACTCTATCTACAATCTCAATTAGGAGTATCAATGGTCCATTTGAGAGCTAGGTGGCGGTAATGCACTACGAAGTCTGCGATCCACCGTAAAGCAAGAAGAAGACGACGCGTCACCTGCCGGCTGAAGAAGAAGACGCAAACGCGCTCAGGACAGTTTGAACAGTTCGGACATTGCAGTAAATCAGAGGTAAAAAACGATATAAATACTGTTCAGTTTCTTGCGCAGACCGATTGTTCCGTGTCTTTACACATCAGTGTATTGTCACGAGCCACAGGGTTTAATTTGGTTTAGATTGGAAAGCCTTTTATTTGTCCCCTTTTTACTTTGTTTATAGTTAATACTATTATTAATAATACTTAACTATTTACATGGACACACTCTTTTATGAATATTGATTCATTTGGTTTGATAGATTATCAATACTTCTTTTGGAAAAAAGCATGACAAGATTTTTGTTTGTAAGTGTGTCAGTGTGATTACTATTCAATGCAAAAATGCTCTGGCCATTTTAGCCATTCACATTTTTGTGGTCAATTTCAACAAAAATCACCAGCAATTCAAATGGGACAATGAAGTGGTGGTTTATATACTGGAAGAAAATTATGCCCAGCGTCATCTATTGATGTTGTATTGATGTTAGTGATTTAAATCAGTTAGCAGTCTACCATGTTGAGGCAAATGCAAAATACAGAATCACTCGTCTTTTCTTTATTTGTGTGAGCATTTTACAGGAGTCTTTCTGTAGCTGGATTCTGCAGTGATTTTTATTTCTGTACACAACTATTTCCCTCTTCCATTCTCTGTAACTGGTTTTTGATAACTTTTGATGTGCAAGACAATAAAGAGAGGAATGAATGTTCTTTAAGTACAAAGTGTGATTTTTCTTCTGTTAGTTAGGCCTATTGGATACATTTAAAGGGGTCATATGATGCTGCTAAAAATAACATTATTTGGTGTAATGAAATGTGTTTATGCGGTTTAAGGTTAAAAAAACACATTATTTTCCACATACTGTACATTATTGTTTTTCCTCTATGCCCCGCCTTTCTGAAACCCGTAGATTTTTACAAAGTTCATCGGTTTGAAAAGCGAGGTGTGCTCTGATTGGCCAGCTATCTAGTGCGTTGTGATTGGCCGAATACCTCAAGCATGTGACAGAAATGTTATGCCCCTACCATATTGTGATGATGCCCTGTCCGGCCGGAGCGACGATTCAAAAACATGTCCTGTTTTGTTTTTGTTTGGTTGTGAGCCCTAATTGCTGAATTGCTGATGATATTTTTTGGATTGCTGTGTTAAAAAAGGTTTGATTTATTTTTTGGGGGGGTGTTATATGTTACATTGAAGTGTAATGCATATAGGTTCATAGATTGGAAAGCCTTTTATTTGTCCCCTTTTTACTTTGTTTATAGTTAATACTATTATTAATAATACTTAACTATTTACATGGACACACTCTTTTATGAATATTGATTCATTTGGTTTGATAGATTATCAATACTTCTTTTGGAAAAAAGCATGACAAGATTTTTGTTTGTAAGTGTGTCAGTGTGATTACTATTCAATGCAAAAATGCTCTGGCCATTTTAGCCATTCACATTTTTGTGGTCAATTTCAACAAAAATCACCAGCAATTCAAATGGGACAATGAAGTGGTGGTTTATATACTGGAAGAAAATTATGCCCAGCGTCATCTATTGATGTTGTATTGATGTTAGTGATTTAAAAAACTCTGTCTGCATTTGTGATCGGAGAAATGACAAACAACAAGTGCTACTCTACTGCCCAATACTCGCGTTTGAATCATCAGTGGCAATGAAAAACACAGCGTGCGCTGAGGCCAGGATAGAGTGTGCTGAGGCGGGCTGGACTCCGCTTCGTCCGCGGTGAAAGTTGAAGTATTCCCTCAGCGACCAGCACAGATCAGCTCCAGGCATGACGAAGCAGATATCGTCCTCTTTTGGAAGACCAAACAAAGTAGTTTCGCTTTCACAACAAAGCACACAGCGTCTCCACGGCATGGCTGCAGCGTCAACAATACTACAGCGAGAATAAAAGTTACTCCTCCTTTCTTTGCGTGAACATTTGGGCAGTGTTATGCAAATCTTCCCACATAGTGAGGTAGATATGTGGGGGCGTGTTCGAACGAGCTGTTTTAGGTAGGTGTGGCTGACTCTTAACTTTTATAAAGAATATCTCTTTGGATTTGAGACTTTAGTCTTTGCAACTTTACAGATCTTCTTTATCCACCAAGAGCTTGTAACACTCCAAAGAGAAAGGAAAAATTGAAATTGCATCATATGACCCCTTTAATTTTGTTTTGTGACCTATTGACCAAATAAAAAAAATTCTAGTCTAATTTGCAATAACAATGACTATTATTAGTGAGTTTAGTCAAAAATCTGTTGTGGAAGGCAATACAATAAAAAAAAAAAACAGTAAACATGGTTCATCTTAACTAGCTCTACTTCTACAGCAAATTGTATTTCACGAATGTACAAATTACAGTCAATCAACTTTTTACATGAAACTGGCAAGTTGTTTTAATTTAGAAATATTATAAACAGTATGGATAATTTGAACAAAGCCTTCATTAAATGTTTACCAATATACTATTTTTAAGCAATTCTATGTTGTTGTCTAAAAAGCAAAAAAAAAACAAAAAAAAACTAAAGATGCAGAAGAATGCATTAACGAAGGGCATTTTATAATAATACAAAATAATACAAGTCATAATTGTTTTTATTTATTCATTTTAATTGTGATTTTTAAATGTATAAACGAATTAGACGTTTATATACATTATACATAATGTGTGCATCATACATTATAATGGCACAATGTTTTAAACACAGTGACACACACATACTCATAAGCAGAAGATCCAACACACACCATCTAAATGTCGGCTTCACGAGGACGTGCGTGACCGGTACTCCCACAATTCAACTCGGCGCGCGCGCGAAAGCTGCCTGAGGTAAACAACAGAAGAGTGCAGCTCGCTGACAGACCTAGAGTCTAGACCGAGGAAGCAATGAGCACAAAAGACAGTGCTGGTACGCGATGCTTCTCATGCTTACACTACTGAACATGTTATGCCTTCATTTTGTTGTGATTTCATAAATGATAACGTTATAGTACAACACAACAATCAGCTATGCTACACCAGATTTCCACCTTTGTCTCCCACACAGGTGTCGCACAGATCCTCGCTTACCTGAATGAGAAAAACAGACCCTATAGTGCTCAGGATGTCTTTACAAACCTACAGAAGCAGTGTGGTCTGGGTAAAACGGTAAAAAGCAACATTACATTTCAGGTTTAAAACGTTCTGCTTTGATGACATCTGTCCAGTGTGTGATAATACAAGAGCTCTTTGTGGTGTTCACCGCCGGTGTGTTAAATGTTTAATATTACAGTTTGTATACAGAGTGTGTTATGTTATATGATTTTGTGATATTAAACGCCTTTATTTTCTCAGGCTGTGGTCAAAGCAATGGAGCAGCTGGCCCAGGAGGGAAAGATTCAAGAGAAAGTCTATGGAAAGCAGAAGATCTACTTTGCAGATCAGGTTGGTCTGATTAGGAGGGAGACAGTTTGCTGTTAATATGAAGAGAACTGGTGTTGGGTAGTCAGCCTGACAGATGTCCTTTCTAACGCTTCAGTCTCAGTTTGCGGATGTGAGTGATGCTGAACTTAAGGAGATGGATGCTCGTGTTGCAGAACTCGGTGCTGAAGTACAGACCATCTCACAGAGCTGCAGGCAGCTGGATACAGGTGTGCACTGCTGGGGAAAGACGTGTGGTTTGAACTTGTGCACACAGACTGTTTGTATTTGATAAAAAGTTCATCTTTTTGCCCTCAGAACTGAAGGAGCTGAACAGCTCATTAACCACAGCAGAGATGAAGGCACAGATCCAGGAGCTGCAGGCAGAGTGCTCTGGGTACAGAGAGAGGCTGGAT